GTTTTGTCGATCCCAAGGATGCTAAAAGGTGTGCTAGCTCTAGCGATCCTTCTAAGGACTGGAGTAAGCATCTCGGAGTTGGAATATGCACTTTGATAAGATGATCAAAGATTTTTGGTTTATACAAAGTTTATGAGAAACTTGTATTTCCAAAGAAGTGAGTGGGAGCACTATAGAATTTCTGATAAGTATATGTTGTAAACATATTGTTGATCAGAAATGATGTAGAATTTCTGGAAAGCATATAGGGTTATTTGAAAAGTGTTTTTCAATGGAAAACCTGGATTAAGCTACTTGAACATTGAGCATCAAGATCTATAATGATAGATCAAAAACGCTTAATGGTACTTTCAAAATGAGCACATACCTTGACATGATCTTGAAGGTGTTCAAGATGGATCAGTCAAAGAAGGAGTTCTTGCCTGAGTTGTAAGGTATGAAGTTAAGACTTAAAGCTCGACCACGGCAGAAAAGAGAGAAAGGACGAAGGTCGTCCCCTATGCTTTGGACGTAGGCTCTACATATGCTATGCTGTGTACCGCACCGAAAGTGTGCCTTGCCATGAGTCAGTCAAGGGGTACAAGAATGATCCAGGAATGGATCATTGGACAGTGGTCAAAATTGTCCTTGGAGTAAATAAGGACATGTTTCTCGATTATGGAGGTGATAAAGAGTTCGGCGTAAAGGGTTACGTCGATGCAAGCTTTAACACCTATCCGAGTGACTCTGAGTAGCAAACCGGATATGTATAGTGGAGCAACCATTTGCAATAGCTCCAAGTGGAGCGTGGAAGCAGCATTTATAATATGACCTAGAGATTTGCGAAGTACATACGGATCTGAATGTTGCAGACCCGTTGACTAAAACCTCTCTTGCAAGCAAAACAAGATCAAACCCCAGAACTCATTGAGTCTTAATCACATGATGATGTGAACTAGTTTAGTGACACTAGTAAACTCTTTGGATGTTGGTCACATGGCGATGTGACCTGTGAGTGTTAATCACATGGCGATGTGAACTATATTATTGACTCTAGTGCAAGTGGGAGACTGTTGGAAATATGCCCTAGAGGCAATAATAAATTAGTTATTATTATATATTTCCTTGTTCATGATAATCGTTTATTATCCATGCTATAATTGTATTGATAGGAAACTCAGATACATGTGTGGATACATAGACAACACCATGTCCCTAGTAAGCCTCTAGTAGACTAGCTCGTTGATCAATAGATGGTTACGGTTTCCTGACCATGGACATTGGATGTCGTTGATAACGGGATCACATCATTAGGATAATGATGTGATGGACAAGACCCAATCCTAAGCCTAGCACAGAGATCGTGTAGTTCGTATGCTAAAGCTTTTCTAATGTCAAGTATCTTTTCCTTAGACCATGAGATTGTGCAACTCCCGGATACCGTAGGAATGCTTTGGGTGTACCAAACGTCACAACGTAACTGGGTGGCTATAAAGGTGCACTACAGGTATCTCCGAAAGTATCTGTTGGGTTGGCACGAATCGAGACTGGAATTTGTCACTCCGTGTAAACGGAGAGGTATCTCTGGGCCCACTCGGTAGGACATCATCATAATGTGCACAATGTGACCAAGGGGTTGATCACGGGATGATGTGTTACGAAACGAGTAAAGAGACTTGCCGGTAACGAGATTGAACAAGGTATCGGTATACCGATGATCGAATCTCGGGCAAGTACAATACCGTTAGACAAAGGGAATTGTATACGGGATTAAATGAGTCCTTGACATCGTGGTTCATCTGATGAGATCATCGTGGAACATGTGGGAGCCAACATGGGTATCCAGATCCCGTTGTTGGTTATTGACCGGAGAACGTCTCGGTCATGTCTACATGTCTCCCGAACCCGTAGGGTCTACACACCTAAGGTTCGATGACGCTAGGGTTATAAAGGAAGTTTGTATGTGGTTACCGAATGTTGTTCAGAGTCCCAGATGAGATCCCGGACGTCACGAGGAGTTCCGGAATGGTCCGGAGGTAAAGATTTATATATGGAAAGTTGTTGTTCGGGTTCCGGAAAAAGTTCGGGTTTTTTCGGTATTGTACCGGGAAGCTTCCAGAAGGTTCCGGAGGATTCCGGAGGGGTCCGGAGGTCCGGAAATTGTTCCACCACGTCCAATACAGTAGCATGGGCTGTAGGGGGGCGCCCTAGCCTTAATGGGCCAGGGAACCAGACCCCCCCAAGGCCCATGCGCATGGGACAGGGAAAACCCTAAGGGGGAGGGCCTCCACTTGACTTAGGAGGCACTCCTCCCCCCCTTGGCCGCCGCCCCCTCCTCAGATTGGATCTGAAGGGGCCGGCCCCCCTCTCCCTTGCCCATATATATATGTGGGGGTGGGAGGGCAGCCGTACCACAAGTTCTGGCGCAGCCCTCCCCCTCTCCCAAGTACTCCTCCTCTCCCGCGGTGCTTGGCGAAGCCCTGCAGGATTGCCATGCTCCTCCACCACCATCACGCCGTTGTGCTGCTGCTGGATGGAGTCTTCCTCAACCTCTCCCTCTCTCCTTGCTGGATCAAGGCATGGGAGACGTCACCGGGCTGTACGTGTGTTGAACGCGGAGGTGCCGTCCGTTCGGCACTAGGATCTCCGGTGATTTGGATCACGAAGAGTACGACTCCTTCAACCCCGTTCTCTTTAACGCTTCCGCTTAGCGATCTACAAGGGTATGTAGATGCACTCTCCTTCCCCTTGTTGCTGGTTTCTCCACAGATAGATCTTGGTGACACGTAGGAAAATTTTGAATTTCTGCTACGTTCCCCAACACTTATCTGGTTAATGGCGCGCAAACTTCTATGGGAGGGGTGGGCCGGCTGTTGGGAGCCGGCCTCCCCCTATGCCGACTGGTCTGGTCATGCCACCTTCTGGTATCTCACTAGCAAGTAGGGCCTTCCGCCCGCGGGCCGTACCGACAGCCCGTTGTGGGAGCATGGCTGCTCTGCCATGGATGATGTCATAGTCAATGTGGCAACGGTGCCGCGCCGGGCGAGGGATGGCCGCCCAGTATGTTGCACTCACGCCTGCTCCGGGATTCGAGGGTGGCAGGCTGCACTGTAGCCACGCCCCGTCTTGTCGTCGTTATGTGGGTGCAAACTTTGAGGGTGCATGGGTGGGCCGCCTGCTAGGAGTCGGCCACTCTGATGGCCGCCTGCTAGGAGTCGACCCACATGGGGACCGCTCAGTGAGCCTCGCCCCCTTCCAGCAGTCGGGCGCTTGGGCCAGTCGGTCACGGGAAGACGACGCTTCGTCTTGGATGCTTGTGGGGCGCAGTCGGCCCGATGTCTTGAAAAGCCAGGGGGAGCAGATAAGGCTACCCGTGGTCATTTACTCCGACACCAGAGATGCACACCAGAAGATCCTCTTCCTCTCGCCACAAAGTTCCTGAGCACAGCGCTGCTGCTACGATCTTCCCCATCCCGGCTTGCAGCGTGCACCGCAGGTCGGGACAGTAGGCCTCCGAAACTCCACCTCTTTGAGTCATGCACGGGAGAAGGGTGATAATGTTTTTGGGGAGCGCTCATCGCGAATACTGACTTCTTCGTCACGGATGCCCTGGACTCCGACGACTTCTTCCCCGACGTCGACAACCTCCTTGACGACATGGCTAGCGAGGACACCGCCCCCAAGTCCAGTGCTATTGTTGCTACTGTTGTCCCGTATGTGTTCTTGCTTTTCCTGTTAGAGGTCCTGTCACAGTTCCTTGTTCTACTGTCTGCTCTAGATATGTTCTGTTCTAGTTCATATTTGCAGATGTTATTTACCTTCTCTTTGTCAGATCGCATGACTTGCTTTATCTTTGCTATTTTAGTCATGCTTTATCTAGTATTTTCATTAATAAGATCATATGGTAAATTCCTCATATTTCCAACATAACCTTCCTGCCGCCGCTGCCCCTTCCTCCACGGCCGACTCCACCCAGTCGGCGGGCGGCGCCCCCTACACCTCCAGACCCGTCCATTCCAGAACCATCCCCGGTGGTTCCTGTCCAGAATGACACCTCGACGCAGCATCCCCATCGGCACGCGAGCATCATCCTCACCGCCACCCAAAGCAACATGCAGGAGACATCATCCTGATGGCATGGACGTCGGTGCTTGTCCCGACGCCGTTGGGAGCCATGGTGATGCTCCTGTAGATGCCCATGGCAGACCGAATCGGGCTGTCTCCAGCCGGCCCAGAGTGGCGCCCAACAGGCTGGCAACCTCCTAGCTGGGCTGCAGCATTGCAAGAAGCTAATAACGCTTCCGAACGATTTGCAATCGCCAAGTGAAGTGAGAAGCTGGCTTGAGAAGCTGAATATGTGGAGTTTATGGAGTTGGGAGAGGTTCAGAACAGGCCCTTACTCGTCTAGAAACTCTTGTGAAGGCCCATACTCCTACATTCATAAATGTTAATGTTTGTGCTACTAACTCTACTTGTTCATAAATGTTACCATAAGTTTGATGACCACATAGATTTCTCAATTTCCACGTTACACTGCCTGGTTTTGAATTTGAAGAAAAAAAACCAACAAATTTGCAGAAATCCAGTCCAAAGATTCACAAGCATGTCCAAAATCTAACCAACGAGAGCAGCACCGTCAGACCACGATCCAACGGCCAACAGGAGCCCCGAGAGTCCGATATAACCCGGACCTTCGCCTTCCTTCCCCCACTCCCCTTCCCCGCTCCTTCGCCCAGTCCCCCACCCCCGAGGCGAGCCACAGCCTCACCCTCGGCTCCCTCCCACACCCCATTGCCGCCTCCATCCAATAAAACTCCTGTACAGATCAAACTCCAGGGATCCGGATCAGCCGATCCCGCGCCTCGCCGCGCGATTTTTCACCCTCGATTCTCCCTGGTATTTTTTTTCCCTATCGGGGCTAGGGTTAGGGCCTCGGGGAGGAGGGCGCCGCATTTCAGGCCGCCGCCGGAGTCGACGAGCCAGGCCACCCGGGGAGGCGAGCGGAAGGGGAGCCAGGAGAAATGGAGAAGAAGAAGGTGGCGGTGTCCAAGGTGTGCCACGGCCACTCGCGGCCGGTGGTCGACCTCTTCTACAGCCCCGTCACGCCCGACGGCTACTTCCTCATCAGCGCCAGCAAGGGTAAGCGATCCACCCCGCCCCGCTCGGCTGCGGCTGCGGCTGCGTCTGGCCACCTCGCCCCTCGTTATTTTTGGGGGCCGTGCGCGTGTGGCTGCGATTCCTTCGGATCCAAAGCTGTCGCTTTGATGCAGACGGCAACTATATGATTATCGTGAAATGGGTTTAAGCTGCTGCTGCCTCAGCGCTGTGCGGGTGAATTCAGTATCTGGTGGACGAATATTGGTCACCTGCTGTTTGTACCACGATTATTGTGTCTCCCATGTTGTCTCACACACTTCTAGGGACAGAGACGGGTATCCAGGTCATGGAATATGCTGATATTCTGTAATTTCACAATCTAGTAAGTTTGGGCTATATTGGATAACATTTAAAGATTTAGAAGTTATTACATGCCATGGTTGCAAGCCAAACTTTGTCGCATGCCTTAGTTAAGTCTGTCCAAGTTAGGGAATTTTTCATTTTTGGGCACTGGTTCCACCTTCCAAGCCCTTTTAGCTATTTTCAGTGCGCTAGACAAGTGGAGTCGAGGCAAGATTCTCTTAGTCTGCTATTGTGGCTATCTACCTCATTGATGTTTATAATGTCGAATGGAGTTGGACTGTTACTAGATTGCTCGGATATCTGCTGGAAGTAGTTGCTTTTATGCCTGCTCAGATGAAAGCCGTTAGATGAGTAATACGTAAAAGTCACCTCTTTCCGTTTCATGTTTTTCATCACCACTGAGCTGTCAGTTCTAGGGATGTAAACAAATGGTAACTGCTGGATACTGTTAAAAATATTTTTCTGTCCATAGCTGTGGTTTCAAACAGGATACAGCTAATATGTATTCTTCACTAGCCGTTGTACTAGCGTTTCTCGGCCATTAGATGGCATCCCTGTTTATTAGAGTGTAGTTGGAGCATATTTTCTAGACTTACCTCCATGACATAATTCTTTTTAACAAGTATTAATATTTGCCAAAGAACTGGCCTCAGCAACGGCTTTAATTCTTTTGATGCACTCTTTTTTGCTGTAAGTATTATAATGCTGAGTTTTTTCATTATATTAGTCTGTCCGCACACGGAGTTCATGTATAAATTTAAAATAACTAGGGAAACAAATGTTCTGTTCAGTGTGGTACATTCATCAATTACAGTTGTTGACACAGCTAACACAATTAACTTGATTCTGTTGGTCTATTGTTGTGATCAATTCCAATTACTTCCATAATCAATATTTTTATGTGATTGTTAGATGCCCGGACCAACTTTTGATCTAGGCTGCTGGATTGGGTCAGTGTAGGGTCAGGAAGTTAAGATTTCAGGGCAGTTTTAAATCAAATGGGGCCCTTATGTTGTTGGTATGGATGGCGCCATATTATATACTTGCTGGTATCAGAGAACAGGGTACTCGTACCAGAGAAGGGTGCAAATACTGGCACATGATAATTCTTACCTGCCAACAGTATACATCACTTTTAAATGCATTGAAAATCCTCCCTGCCTTGTTAGATTCCTGACTATCGCCCAACACTAACATCTCATATTCTGGTCTACAGACTCGAATCCTATGCTTCGTAATGGTGATACTGGAGATTGGATTGGGACTTTTGAAGGTCATAAAGGTGCAGTTTGGAGCTCTTGTCTAGACACAAATGCTCTCCGTGCTGCCTCCGGTTCTGCGGACTTCTCAGCGTATGACATTTATCCTGCAAAATTTCATTGATGGTTCATTTCAATTATTTTTCTTTGAGAAATGCGAGTTTGCCTCTATCAGAGTATCAGTTGATACTTACCTGCTGAAGATCTATGTATATTCATGTTCTTGCATTTCTTCAGCAGACATGCTAAATTGTGATTATTTTTATCGGCAGAGTACTTTAGTTAGTAGGCTACAGACAACTGGTTTAACTTTCAGTTGTGAAGTTGTGTATAGTGGGTCAATCCGATTTCCCTATGCACTATGCAGTGACATTTTCTTAACTGCACGTGATCGGTTTATTTTGTTGGTTCTGTCCACTGATGGTTGCTCGCCTGGTGAACCATAACTTAATGCATCCATGATTGAATATAAAAATTAGGCTGAGCTAGAAGGCAACAATGTTATATTCATCTCCATAATTTAATACATCATCACTCTATTTTATACTCCCTCTGTTCCTAAATATAAGTCTTTGTAGAGATTTCACTATGGATCACATACGGATGTATGTAGATGCATTTTAGAGTGTAGATTCACTCACCTTGCTCCGTATGTAGTCCATAGTGAAATCTCTACAAAGACTTATATTTAGGAATGGAGGGAGGAGTTGTAAGTCTGCTCATACTCTGTGTAAAGAAATAACAATCATTTTTCTGCAAAAAGAATTCAGTTCTTCAATGTTAATGCTCAGAAATGTTTATGTACTAATTCCTGAGTATAATCTACTCTTTTGACAGACATATTTGACTATTTTCTGCAGCAAAATATGGGATGCACTAACAGGAAATGAGCTACATTCATTTGAGCACAAGCATATAGTCCGTGCATGTGCCTTTTCTGAGGTAATGCTTGTTGACACATAGGGCTTGCTTGGTTTGCTTCCAAAAATCGTCTAGCCAATGTTTTTTGTAAAAATCGGCAGCTTTTTGAGGGACTGGCAAAACAACTTGGTTGTCAATTTTTTGGCTTTGCCCAAACATTGGCAAGCCAAGCATGTTCTTAGTTCTCCCCTCTCTTCTGACATATTTATACCAAGAACACTAGTTATTCTGTCATTTCTTCTCCCCCTTAAGATGATATGCATCATATTCTTCTCCTTTTTGCCCTTTTTTGGTCCCTCCAGACTTTCTGAACCGAGGCCTGCTAGTGCTACTTCTTGCAACCTGCCACAAAATATGGACTATTCAACAAGTATATTAGCCCTGCTTTTTACATCCATCAGCGCATCTCATTGAATAATGTGAAATCATGTCGACAATAGTTTAGATGCTCTGTATGCCATAGTAGTCAGTTAGAACTGTCCTCCATAAGCGGTTCTAAACCTAATCAAACCGCCTGTGCAACTGCAGGATACTCACATGTTGCTCACTGGAGGTGTGGAGAAGATTTTGCGTATATATGACATGAATCGTCCAGATGCAGCTCCAAGAGAACTTGACAAAACACCTGGTTCTGTACGAACTGTTGCTTGGCTTCACAGTGACCAATCTATTCTAAGTTCCTGCTCTGATATGGGTGGAGTGAGGTTTGTCTGGAAAATATCTTTAAAATTTGAAGCTTGTATGAAAACACATGCTGCTTCTCTATGCAAGCTTATTATACTTATTCCCCTTGATTAATTACTCTGATCACACAGGTTATGGGATGTGAGAAGTGGAAAAATTGTCCAAACTCTTGAAACCAAGGCACCTGTCACCAGTGCAGAAGTAAGCCAGGATGGCAGGTTCATCACTACAGCTGATGGCTCAAGTGTTAAATTTTGGGATGCGAACCAGTAAGTTCTTTCCTGTATGACCATTGTTCTGCATCACTTGCATTGTTCGGTTCCTTGACATTTTTTCTGGTAATTCTGCAGTTTTGGGCTTGTTAAAAGCTATGATATGTCATGCACTGTGGAGTCAGCTTCACTTGAACCAAAGTCTGGGAGTAAGTTCATCACTGGAGGGGAAGACATGTGGGTTCATGTATATGATTTCTTCACTGGTGAAGAAATAGGTAAGTCTGTTATCATATTCAATCATTTGATTCCTGCAAGACTGAAACATCGCTGCAGTTATGCGTTACCAAAACAAGAACATTAGCTAGCATAGTATTTTTTGTTAAGCTTTCACTATTGTGAGTTGTAGTGTTTAGAACTCTTGTTTGTATCCTGGCCAGGTGGAGAAAAATATAAGTACATTAGCTAGCATAATATTTTTGTTAAGCTTTCACTATTGTGAGTTGTAGAGTGTTTAGAATTCTTGTTTGTATCCTGACCAGGCGGAGAAAAATATAAATCCCCAGAACGTTTTCTTGGTGATCCCAGGTTACCCAGGGAACCAATCAGGAAAAATGGTTTAATTTGAAACTGACAATAAACCAGTGATTTACTATAGTTATAACAAGCTTCTAGCCCAAGGGTAGGGATTACCGGATACGTGAGTGGTACTGGGTTCAAATCTTATTTTTGCAGTCATTTTTTCTTATTTGCACATAAGGCATGTGAAAATAGAGTACTGAATTATACGAGACTGGTACTGGGTTCAAATCCCAATGCTGCAGTACTAAATCAGTTGGAATGATAGCCATGGGATTCTACCCACAATGAGTGAGATGCCCCGAGAGTCAGAGTATATACTGTATCGATTTTGTTATATCTATAACAAAGTAATCACCCCACTGACTGCACAATTGTGCTCTCTGGCCATTGTATGTTCATTTTTTGTCTGCAGCATTCTTTATACTGATATTTGAAAACTAGATTCAAATAAAAATTTAATATTGATGTTTCAATACCTGATTCCGTTGACATGACTTGAGAACTTGTTAGTGCTCGTATTATTCTTTTTCGAGAAAACGCAAAGTGATTTTTGCATTTCATTGCATTGGAAAGGTGAGAGAGAGTACATGCCTCCTTGTTAGTGCTCGTATTATTCTCAAGCCCAGTTTATACCGCAAAGCTGAAATCCAGTGAGCAAAAGTCAAAACTTGATTTGTCTCGACCTCGCCTTTAGTGTTTGTGTAGTCTGCATGCTTGTTAATCTATGGTTTGTACTTTCATATTATTACATATCGAAATAAATATTTCCTCCAACTGCCATACGATGTCGTGAACATCTGTTATTCTGTGTTTTGCAGCCTGCAACAAAGGTCATCATGGACCTGTCCACTGCGTCCGGTTTGCGCCTGTTGGCGAATCATATGCATCAGGATCAGAAGACGGCACCATCCGTATCTGGCCGCTGAACCCTGCAAACGCCGATGACACGGAGGCACCCAACGCCAACGGCAAACCTAAGGCCGCCGCGGTGGCAAATGCGGTGGCAAATGACGTCGCCCGTAAGATCGAAGGCTTCCATATCACCAAGGAGGGGCAGACCGAGGCGTAGGAGGAGGATTGCATCGTCACCGAAACTGGCAGTGGTTGAGCCTTGTTGGGGCATTGCCGTCCGTCAGAGCCAGCCCCTTGGACTCACGGTGTCGCCCTCTGAGTCCATCACGTCGAAGCTTCTTTGCCGACCAAGGGCGGACGGACTTGTCCGTCATGAGTGAGCGGTTTTCTGTATGGGGCACTCTTCAGTAGACTGTTAAGATTAAGAGAGCATCTAAAGAGTTGGAATAAACCGTAGGGGGAAGCGAGTCAGCAGTTAGTTTGTTTGCAGAAAGTTAAGCTTAATTTCAATGTATCGACGATAGGATTCGCCATACAAATGCCAATGGTGTTAACACTGTTTTGGCCCATCGTTGTGTGTTGATGATGACGGTGACAAAGGCTGTTGGTTGCCATTATTTGCGTATACGGTACCTTTTCTTGACGTCCTGGACATAAGTGTATAGCATAGCCGTGCTGCACATATGACCGCATTGATCGACGTCTCACCAGTGAGGATTCAGTGTCGCCCATGCGAAATGGTGCCTGGTCGTTTCAGCCCCCCATAGAAAGACACGCTCGTTTAGAAGAGAATTAGACAGTCAATACTACTGTACCTCTGTTGTAATGAAATGAAATCTCTGGACCAACTTGCTTTCGAGCGGAGGGTCGGAGGGAACACACGAGCCAGAGCAGGCTAAGATAAGAGTTACTCCGACAGAGTAGTACTGCACGAGCAGGAAGTAGTACGTACAGTACCTATCTTTCACCGAGACATGAACTGGTGGTGATTTATGGCATCGGCATTGACAGCCTGGTCTCATTCGTCTCCTGCCTATATGTGCGAACAGTGGAGTACCTCTCCTTGGATTGGATCACCCCAGCCTCACGTGGTTTCACAGGGATACTCTGCGTCGCCATTTACGCCCCGCCATTACTCGCGGCGTCCTTGGATCGGTCCTCCGCCACCGCCGCACCGCAGCGCGCACAGCCCCGCGGCTCTGGCCCTGGCCGCCGCAGCGCACACTTGCCTTCTTCCCTGTCCGCATCTGCATGAATGCATGCATGCATGCACGCGTAAAATTTACTACTCGTACCGCACAATCGATTTGACATGCGTGTTTTACGGTGCCTGGCCGATCACCAGCCAGTCACCACACCGGGGAGCAGAGCACACGATCCACGGCCAAAGACCGATGCTCCTTCTCCCCGCGCTATTCTATCCTGCGCGGCAGCGCCCGAAATATGGTCTTGCCGCAGGCTCGGCGCATGCGTTGATGCTCTCTAGAAGCCGAGCACTCGGCGATCATGAGAGGAGCGGCCCTAGCTAGGTCGCCACCAATTTTTCTGATTTAAACGGGCTGTCTTGAGGTTGTAAATCTAAATCTCGTGGGAAGCTCGGGGAAGAAAGAAACCGCTCACGCTTTGCCCTATTTTGCTTTATGAAATCATGGACAATGTAAAAGACTCAAAGGTCGAAGTGCTTGTAGTGTTACTCACGTTCGTCAAAGCCGAAATAGTTAAGAGCATCCACAGCAGGACGTGACAACTCCGATCCTTCAAACGCCCGCGAACGGACACGTCCGCGGACACCGACCGGTCAAGTCTCAAATAATGCATTCCACGTCCGGATACCTCAAATTAGAAATCTCAAATCCATATTATTACATGTAACATAAAGCGATCTTTGCGGAGCTCGTCCGGCTCCACCATGCCCATGTCCGGCAGCCAGTTGCGCTCCCTAGAGTGTTGGTCTGGTCGCCGACAAGGTAGAGTAGGGCATGGGAACGAGCCGGCTCACGGGGCTCAAGGCGCCGCCGTCTCCCATGCCCTGCTCTTCCTCATCGGAGCCTAGAACCTGAATGGTGCCGGTGGACGTCAGATCGATGATGGATCCATCCCGGGACGAAATCGGCGACATCCACCACGACCCGGTTGCGGAGCCCGGACTGCTGCACCATACAGGGTGCCGGAGAATGCGACTTTGCCTCGCTGACGTCCACCGCCACAGGGGCTGCCGCTGCCTCGCACGACGGACACGCCGCGCCATGTTTGCATCGGAGGACGCCCATGGTGCGTCCATGTCCTTGGCGCGCCAACAAAGAGTTGCGCGTCCGCCACGGCGTTCAGACGCCAGACGGACTGCACCGCCTCTGGTGAGGCAGCGACCATACACATAGAGCTGGATCCATGCGCCATTTGGGCGGACGCAATGGATTCCTGACGGAAGGAGTCCGAGCGCCGCCATGCACGGGCTTCCTCCTGGGAGCGGCGGAGCGCAAGCCGGACGACCTCCTCCTCGGGGCCGTCTGGGATGAGTTCGGGGTCGACGGATCTGGAGATGAAGGACTCGGATCCGCTGGCCACCATGCCGGAAACGGTCGGAGATCGCCGGACGGGAGTTTGGGTGGCGGAGGGGAGTGGAGTGAAGTGGTTAGGGTTTGGTCCGGCGAGCGGATGGAGAGAAATATATTTAGGGTCGGGTGGGCCATCATGGGCCAGGGACGACGTGACGGACGCGCCTGGACGTCCTTATATCTGGCCCATATTTGGGCGAGATATGAGGGGTGTCGAACAACCTGAATGTTTGAGGCCCGTTTGAGATGTCTGGATCGCATTTTCATGACCGGGCTGCCCGCCCGGGCGTTTGATGCCGGTTTGGGCCACCCGACTATAGATTCTCTTGTGGTAGAATACAGGACCCAAAACGAACAGCTGATGTCTGGCAGGGTCCGGGTCCAGAGGGCATTGCCCAACTCTGTCAAAGTGACTGTAGTTACTCTATATACACTGAGTAATACTCCCTCCCTAAACAAATATAAGATATTTTTTATCAGAAATATAAGACGTTACTAGAAAAGGTTGTCGGGCCATAATTCATTTTAACTTTTGCAAAAACCCCGCACATACATTTAAACCTCATACAGATCAGCTCGTCTCCTTCTTCCTTCTTCACCTGTCGCCCGCGCGTTTACAGAGGGAGTACAAAGTACGTGTGATTCCCAACAACAGCAAAAAATCAGACCGGGGAGCACAATCCACATCTATGTCCATAATAAAACCTTTTGATGCTACTACTTAGAAGGTTGAGCGTGCAGCAACCGGGAAGGGGTCCAAGGCGTAACCACCGGCGGCTTGGAATTATCCAGGGAAGGCAGGCGGCTTAAACATTCGCATCAATATATACGACCATCGCATTACGCGACAGATAGACAGACCGAGACAGGCGCCGAGGACCGAACAGTCGAGTATATAATGCTGCCCCCACATCCACATCCACATGATGATAGATTGATGGAATCAATCAATCCGTTCCGGACAACGTAAGTGAGAAGAAAGCTTCGACTGACCCACAAATGATGGATCCTAATCATGTTAAAACAAATGGAATCTCACATGAAACGGACATGGAGCATGTGATCCCGGATGAACAGTAAAATCCAAAAAATAGTAAAAAAATTCAAAAAAATCTGAAATTTTTTGTCAAGAAACTTTCATGCTTTTTCTACATGCGTGCCAATTTTCGTGATGAAATGACATTTGTGGAGGTCTCGGCAAAAAAATAAATAAAAATCATGCTCTAAAAAAACTGTTTCTGGAAGCATTTTGGAGCATCGATTTTGTTTTTTTGCCGAGACCTGCATGAATGCCATTTTGTCATGAAATTTTGCACGCATGTAGAAAAAACATCAATGTTTGTTGCCAAAAAAATTTAGATTTTTTTTAAAACTTTTTAAACATTTTTTCGTGTGTACTGTAGCAAGGATGCCAGTGAGCTTGAGCTCACAATAGCACTTTCCACATGAAACCCCAATATCTTTCCCCATCCAATCGCCACTCTCACCTTTTTTTTGAGCGGTAAACCATATTAGATTAAGGAGTTCGGTTTACAGGGATAATGAACGGGTCATGGGGTAAACCCAGCCACAAATGGCGACCACTGTTACCTGATCATCGAATCACCAAAAGTTTAGCTTCGGCACCTGTTGTTCCACGACCCAACCCAGGAAGGAGGCCCAAGGCCTATCGCCGCTCACGCTTGCTGGACCGGGCCTGGAGGGCAGGAGGAACCCAGTGTGGCGACATGACATCAAGAGATAAAGAGAAGCAGGTGGAGACGGAGAGGGTCGTCGATCAGCAGAAGCAATTCCCCACTTTCCTTCTTCCTCTTGTAAACCCTAGTTACCTCCTTTGGAATTGGAGACTGTAAGCAGAGACATAACAATTGGTATCAGATGTGATTCGATCCATCACGGTGACGCGTGACCCATCAGTCCGTAGTGTGGTAAGCGGAGGATTCGTCCACCACTGTAATTCCAATCGCTCGGCAGGAACCACTGATCTAGTTGGGCTATCGGGAGTCGGAGCTGGTACCGAAGAAGCATGGCCCTTCGGCGGTCGAGCAGCAGATCTTGGCGGCGATGGGGTCGGTGGAGCAACAGAACACGGAGACCAATGCCAAGCTCGCTGACATCGCCGAGCAGCTGAAGGGCATGACGACATGGATGAAGACCATGGACTCCACGACCAAGAGCTTCTCCAAGTCCACGACACTTCTCCAGCTCCATGCCGAGGACGCGGCAGTCTGTCTGGAGGCGCTCGAGTCACCTCCAGCACGACCCCAAGGTCGGGCCGCTGCGAGCTCGACGCCACCATCTGTGATGGTGCACACGCAAGGCGGGGACCACCCAAATGGGCACGGTGGGCATCACCAACTACGGGGGCCAGTTCTGGGAGATCCTCGATTCCTTGATCTGCCTCCGGGCAATGACATGCCCTTGTTTGCACCTTCGCATCACTCTCCTCGTCCGCACATGAGCAGCACACTCAAAATGGATTTTCCCAAGTTCGATGGGAAGATCATCAGGTGTGGTTGGACAATTGTGAACTGTACTTCGAGATCTATGGGGTTACTGAACAAATGAAATTTAAATTTGCTTCTCTTAATTGTGTTGGGAACGCGACACTGTGGCTCAAAATGGCCTAGAAACGTCGGCAATCTGCGGTGTAGGAGAAATG